TACTTTTGGCAGTGTGGGCAGGTGCCAAGTCCTGCTGGAAAATGAAGTCAGCATCCCCATAAAGCTTGTCTGCGGAAGAAAGCATGAAGTGCTCCAAAATCTCCTGGTAGACGGCTGCATTGACCCTGGACTTAATGAAGCACAGTGGACCACCAGCAGATGAAATGGCTCCCCAAATCGACACAGACTGTGGAAATTTCACACTGGACTTCAAGCATCTTGCAGTGTGGCTCTCCATTCTTCCTCCGGACTCTGGGTCCTTGGTTTTCAAATGAGATGCAAAAGTTGCTCTCATAGAAAAGAGGACTTTGGACCACTGAGCAACAGACTAGTTCTTTTTTTCTTTAGCCCAGGTAAGACGCTTCTGACATTGTTTGTTGTCCAGGAGTGGCTTGACAAGAGGAATACAACATTTGAAGCCCATGTCCAGGATCTGTCTGTGTGTGATAGCTCTTGATGCACTGACTCCAGCCTCAGTCCACTCCTTGTGAAAGTTCCCAACACTTTTGAACGGCCTTTTCCTGACAATCCTCTTCAGGCTGCGGTCATCCCTGCTGCTTGTGCACCTTTTTCTTCCACACTTTTTCCTTCCACATAACTTTCTATTAATGTGCTTTGATACAGCACTTTGGGAACATCCAACTTCTTTTGCAATTACCTTTTGAGGCTTTCCCTCCTTATGGAGGGTGTCAATGATGGTTTTCTGCACAACTGTCAGGTCAGCAGTCTTTCCCATGATTCTGATTCCTACTGAACCAGATTGAGAGACTATTTAAAAGCTCAGGAACCCTTTGCAGGTGTTATGGCTTACTTAGCTGATTAGAGTGGGACACTTTGAGCCTAGAATATGGAACCTTTTCACAATATTCTAATTTTCTGAGATTGTGAATTTGGGATTTTCATGAGCTGTAAGCCATAATCATCAAAAGTATGACAAATCAAGGGCTGAACTATCTCACTTTGCATGTAATGAGTCTATCTCATATATTAGTTTCACCTTTTAAGTTGCATTACTGAAATAAATGAACTTTTGCACAATATTCTAATTTTTCAAGTTTCACCTGTATGTACCATAAACACAGTATAGATTTCTGTTAGTGTTTCCTATCTCTTCTGAGACTTTAAATGAATTTTAAAGAGTGAAATTTTATGATATCACACACACACACACACACACACACACACACACACACACACACACACCAGGGGTGGGTTCTATTTTTTTTTACTACTGGTTCGGTGGGTGTGGCTAGGTGGGGGGGGGGCATGACTGATTGTGTGTGGCCAACGTGATGTCACTCACACACTCAGCCACATGACCCCCCCAAGCCACGCCTATCAAAAAGGTGGCTAAAATTTTTGGAAATTTTTGAAACTTTTTTTTGACACTCCATCCCCATATCCAGGTCAGGATGCATGGGGTGGCGGTGGTCATCTCGGCTTTCCCTCTGCTGCCCTTCCTGGCCGAAAAGCGCGCCTTCTCACCTCTGACGGGCCTTCCTTGTGATTGCATCTGGAGCAACCCACTCCGCCAGCTCAGGGCAGCAGACTCAGCTGTAGCCCAGATGAGCCAAGGAACTGGGGGGAGCCTCCCGCATGTTGCATCCCCTCCCAGCCTTCCCCCCATGCCTCCGCACCATTTTCGGGCACCCAGCTTACTGGGCTGCACCCATCCCTGTCACGGCTCCAATGGTGACGGCTTCAGGAGACGCTGGCAGCACAAAGGTGTAGGCAAAGGCTGGGAGGGGGATGCAACACACGGGAGGCTCCCCGCAGTTCCTTAGCTTGTCTGCGCTGTAGCTGATTGAGGTGCTTTAGCAGCCATGAGCTGACTTTCCTCCAAGTCTCACAGAGAGAAGCACCTGTTTCCCTCTGCCGCTCACAGCGCTTAGAGGAAAGCACGGCTCATGGCTGTTACTGGGCTGCTGCAGTCCCTATCGCGGCTCCAACAGCAGCGGTTTTGGGAGATGCTAGTGGCACGGAGGCGCGGGCAAAGGCTGGGAGGGGGATGCAACACACAGAGGGCCAAGTCCACTCCCCTTCACCTCCCCACACTTGTTTACCCGTTCCAGAGAGCTCGGGCTATGCCTCCCTCTGACCCAGCCGCCTTCCTTGCTGGCGTCGCTCCTGAGCGAACTCTTCTGTCCTCAGCTGTTGTGAAGAAGCTTCTTTCTCTTTGAGAGCCGCTTTGCACCTTGTTTGCAAAGCAGCTCTCAAAGAGAAAGAAGTGGGTGTGGCGCACCCAGAGCTGCCACTTCTTTGCAACAGCTGAGGACTTGTTCCACTTGGAGCTCCAAGCTGCGAGGAAGAGGTGGTGGCTGCAATGCTGGCAGCTCCGGTGGGCTCCTTCCCTCAGTGGTTTGTTTTCTTTTACCTCATCTAGGCAACTTTGTAATTAAAGGCTGCTCTGCACCTTTTGATCTTTCTCAAGCACGGAGAAAAGTGGGCCTGTGTGAAGGGACTGAGCCTGCTGCTGAACTTGGAAGCCGAGAGGCTTCTTTTCCACCCAGCCACTGGCGCACAGCACCGGAAAGACTTCTGGTCACTGCCGCTATCTTCGCGCATGCACAGTTTTCTTCTCACTGGCTGAAGGACTTTTCAGCACCCTGCGGCCAGGCGGCTGAGAGGCTTCTTTGCTCTGGTCACCTTCAGGTGGGCGAGCAAGCAGCAACCGGGAAACCAGTTTGGGGGCATGGCCTAGCTGCCGTTACTACTGGTTCAGAGAACTACTTCCTAAAGTTACTACCTATTTGGTAGAATAGGTAGTAACCCACTACCAAATCGGGAGCAACCCACCACTCACATACACACACACACACACACACACACACACACACACACACACACACACACGGAAGCATTTGCATTCAGATATCCATCTATCTATTTACCTACATTGGTTTCAGAATGGTAACTCTCATCTTTTTATAAAGAGATTCATTAGAAGAAAATGAACTGATAATAAAATATAAAAGAATATAAAAATTTATAACAAGAAAAAGTATCATATGCTAATCATGGTGGGGCAACATAATTGAAAAAGCAATTGAAAATGATCAGGTTAAATTATTGTGGGATTTACAAATATACTGATAGTCTTGGTGGTTAACACATCAGATTTAAACTTTGGCCCAAAAGAAGAAAGTGTGGATAACTGATAAGCAGAACAAAGGGATATTAGAACCCAAGAAGAGAAGTGGAAAAGATCACAAGGTATCAAGATCTTAAAATAGTAGTTGAAAACTATTGCATAAACTAACTTCTCTATTGCATAAAGAGCCTGTAGTACAGTGGACTAAAGCACTGTTATTAATATCTGCTGCTTGCAATTACTGCAAGTTCAAATCTCACCAGGCTCAAGGTTGACTCAGCCTTCCATCCTTTCAAAGGTAGGTAAAATGAGGACCCAGATTGTGGGGGCAATAAACTGACTTTTATAAATATACAAAAATATGAAGGCTATTGCTTAACGCATTGTAAGCCGCCCTGGAGTCTCTGGAGAAGGGTGGCATATAAATTAAAGCAAAAAAAAAAAAAACCATGGGAGGGCGGGAGGTCTCAGAAAATGTACATTTTGACAAAATTTCCATCTGTCAATTGCAAAAAACCACCTTGTTTGGATCCACACATATACTACACTGATACATTATGACTATCTAGGTTCTTGGGAGGAACTTGCTGCAAACTAAGGCCAACACCAGCTAAAGAACTGGCAGCTGTGATTTTACATTATTTATATATTTATATAAATGTATTTATATAAATGTAGAATCACTACCTTTTAAAGTAGGGATATGCAATGTTGATCTTCAATAGATACAATCATGCTGAGCAATGCAAGCTCTGGACGCTTGATAGGAAGATGACACAAAGTTCTAAATGATAAAAGAGATTTATCATTTATGTCTGCTCCAGAATTTCCCTTCCCCTTTCTTTTTAATGCATATATTTAGCTTGCTTGTAGGAAAGGGGATGTGTGTGTGTGTGTGTGTGTGTATGTACATGTACATGTATATATATGTAAACATTTCATTCCTTCCTGCCAGCAAACTTCAGCAGCAGAATAGAAAATATTTTATCAATTTTCTGTTAACTTCACACTTTCCTGTTAGATATGTTGCATGCAACCATAAAGCATTATTATAGAAACAGAATGTTAAACATATAAAGAAAGCAAACTTACTTCTCACTTTCTGTGCATACTGGAGCATGTTCTCTTTTTTATTTTATTTTTTCCTAATAATATTTTAGACAGGCATGAACTATTTATTTTATTGTTTGTTTATTTACAAATAATTCAAGGAGATAAACACATCCAACACACCCTCCATCTCCTATTTTCCCCATAACAACAACCCTGGCAGGTTGACTGGCCAAGTTAGTGGTCCAATGTCACCCAGCTGGCTTTTATGGCTAAGGCAGGATATGAACTCATAATCTTCTGCTTTCAAGCCTAAACGAAAAGAAATAAATGAATGAATGAATGAAACAAACAGAAAAATGTATCTTTCCAAAAAGAAAAAAACTAGGAAACCCATTGTAAAATTTATATTTTAAAAAATGTATGTATAGATAAAGCATGATGTATATTTTCATACATCTATACTATTTTTTTTTTTTGCAAATATATATAATAATGAATGGATGCATTTCATCTTTAAAGAAATGGAGATATGAAATTGTTCAACAGCACAGATAGCATTCACCTGCATTTCCTTAAGTTGTACAACAGAGATCTAATTCTAGACATTGGTCTGTGACAATAATTATCTTTAACTAGATAAAGTTTTATTGATTGCAAGTTGCTCACATTTGTATACCAATGTTCTAAACAAAAATCAAGGCTACATAAAAGAATTGTAGTTTTATCAATTTCACAAGGAGAAAGCTTAACACATTGAATCAGTTCCATTTAATTTATCAATTGATTTGCTTAAGAAAAGTTTTGTTTACTATTTGTATAATCACCCACAAAGTGGCCAAACAAATTACAGAATTTATTAAACTACACAAAACTGAAAAATTTGGGGCAAAGTGTTAGAAAAAATATTGAGGATCAGTTTCCAGATTGCCATTTTGAGTTCCTTGTTTCTCATGCTGTAGATCAATGGATTCATGATTGGTGGCACCACACAGTAAAACATAGAAATCAGGATGTCTGATGTTGATGGGGAACTGGATATGGGTTTCAGGTATGCAAAGGTACCACTTACCATAAAAATACAAATGACTATGAGGTGAGGTAAGCAAGTAGAGAAGGCCTTCTGCTTCCCTTGGTTAGATGGGATTTGCAAAACTGCTTTAAAAATCCTCACATAGGAAAACACAATTAGAACAAAAAGAATGAATGCTAAAGAAGAACCTAGAATGAGTATCCATTCTTCTGCAGCATAAGAATCAGAACAAGATATCTTGAGCAACTGAGGGATTTCACAAAAAAACTGATTGATGATGCTTGAACAGAACTTCACTGTAAACAAATTTCCTGTATGGAGCATTGAATAAGACAGCCCACACATCCAGACACTGGTTGCCATTTTGATGCAGGCTTTTTTGTTCAGTATAGTCTCATAATGCAGTGGGTTACAGATGGCTACATAACGATCATATGCCATGACACACAGGAGAAAGAAGTGAGACAGGATGAAGAAAACAAGGAAAAAAACTTGGCAGAGACATCCAGAATAAGAAATGGCTTCTGTGTTCATCAAGGAATTTGTCATCGACTTGGGAACTGTGACAGAGATGGAGCCAAAATCTTGCAAGGATAGATTGACTAGAAAAAAATACATGGGTGAATGCAGCTGATGGCTATAAACAATGACAGTGATGATGATGAGATTTTCAATGAGGGCTATCAAATAAATTATTAAAAAAACAATGATGTGGATTATCCTTAGCTCCTCGGTTACAGGGAATCCATGCAGAAGGAATTCATTGACTTGAGATTTATTTTCCATTCAGCTTTTTAGATTTCAGAGCTTGTAATAGAAGGTCAAATCTCCGATACTTTTCTCATGTACCTGTGGCAATATTCAAGATGAAGTGAAATGCTTTTCAATTTCTTTTAATATGAGAATGCTAGATAACAAATATAGACAAAGGTTTATATTTATTTAATTTTGTAATATTCCTCAGGGCACCCATTTCTCATGAGCTTAGTTTACTTTAGCACTTTTAAGTCTATATAGGTGTGGGAAAATGTGATTAGAGATTTGTTCATACTTCCTTTAATCTGTAGAACAAATAATGCTTTGATTGTTGCATAAGATACCTATACTGACTTCACTTCCAGAAGTAAAGTCTCTGAAACAAATGCATAATTGTTTTTGTTTGTTTGTTTTTCCTTGGCTAAATACTTCAATTTTGCATGTAAGGTGCTGTAGTAGAGACTGTGCAAACAGCTCAATATAAACAAGAGTTTTTAAAAAGAAACTCAAAGTAATATTCCAGGAAACACCTATCTAATCTTAGTTTTTAAAAACTAAACAATTGTTGGTGATGCTTAATAAATAGTTAACTGTATCTCCACTACATAATCAAATGTATTTTATTATCTGTAACATTTATAGTTGTAACTATATTTGAATGAAGGACTACCTCAGTATACCATGAGTGTAGACTAGGAAAGAGGAGGAGGAGGAGGAGGAGGAGGAGGAGGAGGAGGAGGAGGAGGAGGAGGAGGAGGAGGAGGAGGAGGAGGAGGAGGAGGAGGAAGAGGAGGAGGAGAGGATAAAGTATATTAAATAGAGTTGAGGAGTCAAAAGTTTTAAAAAATCAACTTTGCATTTCCAAAACACTGGGAACAAACAAATACATTAGAACTGTTATGTATTGATACTTTTGAGCGGGAGTTTCAAACCTGCCTACGTTTCTGATTGGCTGACAGTCCCTCCAGGATTGTATATAAGGAGGGCTGCAGCCTCTGAGTTTTCGCTGAAGTCTCACTGTAAATTAAAGAGCTGTTGTCACTTGCTTGGTTGTGCCTCTCGTTATTCCCGAACCACTTCATTGGCGACGAAGGTGGGATTGAGGTCACAACAAGCGAACCAGTGAGACCACGAGCTTCAGCTAGGCGACGAGGCGAACCACAGGAGGCATACTGAACATGTCTGCCTACGTTCCGCCCAAGCCTTTTGATCCAACCCGCAAAAAATGGGTCTCGTACCTGACGAGGTTCGAATGCTCGCTCGAAGCCAGCGACATGCAGGGGCTCTCCGCTAATCGGAAGAGGGCCCTCTTCCTAAGCCACTGCGGACCGGACGTGTTCGAGATGGCAGAGTCACTGTGCGAGCCAACGCCGGTCCAGACCGTTTCCTGGGACACCCTGATGGCCACGCTCCGGGCTCACTACGCTCCCGTGCCCTCCAAGTTCGTGCAATGATACCAACTCAGACAGCGCGTACAGCGAGAGGGAGAACCGGTCAGCGCATACATGGCCAGCCTGAGAAAAGCCGCAACCCATTGCGACTATAGAGACTTGGACGATGCATTGCTTGAGCAACTCATCTGTGGTGTCCGGGACATTAGGCTGCAACGGCGCCTACTCGCCAAGCCTGATTTAATGCTCGCTGGAGCCCTAGACGAGGCCAGGGCTCATGAAGCCTCCACAAAAGCCGCAGAAACGCTGCAGCGTCCGCTGACCAGCAAAGACAACCCCAAGTCTGCCCCGGTGCACAGAGAAGATGCCGGATCCAGCTCGGAGTCCGAGTCGGATGAAGACATCTTCCGAACGGAGCACCAGAGAAAGGACACAGGCAGCCCCCGGCGAAGCTGTCCCAGCTGCGGAGGGCACCATGACAGACTGTCCTGCAAATATAGGGAGGCTATTTGCAGGCGTTGCGAGAAAAAAGGGCACTTGGCGCGAGTCTGTAGAGCCATTCTGCCCAGAAAACACCAACCACGTGAGCGCCGCAGCCAACCAGAATCAACGCGCCAGAAACAACCAATGAGAGAAGGCGGCGCGAAAAAACGGCGCGAATTTGAACCTCGAGATGGCCGCAGCATTCACATAGACCAGGCCAGCGCGGAAATCGAGGACAAAGTCAGCACGGTGGTCGAAATCAACGGCAAGCCATGCTCAATGGAGATCGACACCGGATCGGCTCTCTCCATAATGTCTTGGGCGACCCTAAAGACCCTCCTGCCGTCGTTCCGGAAGGACCAGCTCTCCAAACAGAGACTGCGCATCCTAGACTACCAGGGGAACCGAGTCCCCCTCGAAGGCGTGGGCACGTTCCGAGTCACCTATGGAGACTACGAAAGAGACCTGCCACTGACCATCGTCACGAAGCAGCTTCCCAGCCTTCTCAGCATGGGGTGGTTCCGAGCCCTCGGCATGGGCTTCACTGGCGTCCACCAGATGCTCAAGTCATCGTTAAAAGACAGTCTCCTGACCGAGTTCCAGGACGTTTTCGGGGACACGTTGGGCAAGTATGTGGGGACCCCTATCTCCCTTAATTTAGACCCCAACGTAGCCCAAATAAGACTCAAGGCCAGACGGGTGCCTTTCGCATTGAAACCAAAGATCGATGCGGAACTGGACAAACTGATTAAACAAGGGGTGCTGGTTCCCGTTGACCATGCAAAGTGGGAAACCCCTATAGTGACCCCAGTAAAGTCTGACGGCTCAATTAGAATCTGCGCCGACTACAAGTGCACGATCAACAAGGCTTTGCAGCCGAGCACCTATCCGGTGCCGATCGTGCACCATCTACTACACTCCCTGGGGCCCGGAAAATTTTTTGCCAAATTAGACCTGGCTCAGGCCTATCAACAATTACCAGTTGATGATGCCACGGCAGAGGCACAAACGATTGTTACTCATAGGGGTGCATTCAAATGCACCAGGCTCCAGTTTGGGGTGAGCGTCGCACCCGGCCTGTTTCAAAGCACCATGGAGCGCCTTCTGCAAGGGCTTCCCAGAGTGGTGCCCTATTTTGATGACGTTCTAGTCAGCGCTCAGGACGAATGTCAGTTAGGGGACAGAGTAAGGAACATCCTTTCCAGATTTAGGGAAGCGGGACTAAGGTTAAAGAAAAATAAATGTATGATCGCTGTCCCCTCCGTTGAATTTTTGGGGTACAGGGTGGACGGCACAGGCATCCACCCTACCGAAAGCAAGGTGAGAGCAATTAAGAGCGCACCTGCCCCCAAGACCAAAGCTGAGCTCCAAGCCTTCCTTGGACTGCTCAATTTTTACTCAATGTTCCTGAAAGACAAAGCTACCGTCGCAGATCCCCTACACAAACTATTGGGGAAGAATGTACCATGGGTCTGGGGGAAACCACAGCGGCAAGCAGCCGCTTTTGAGGCAGTTAAGAGACTTCTATCAGAAGACAGTTTCCTAATCCAATACAACGCAGCGCTACCGCTTGTATTGGTTTGTGATGCCTCCCCCGTAGGAGTTGGTGCCGTCCTGGGCCATAGACTTCCGAACGGCCTAGAGGCGCCCATTGCGTTTTACTCTCGCACCCTGTCAAGCGCAGAGCGAAACTATAGCCAATTGGACAGAGAGGCTCTGGCTGCAATCGCGGGGGTTAAAAAGTTCCACGAATATCTATTTGGCCGGCAATTCGAACTTGTGACTGATCACCGGCCCTTGCTAGGACTTTTGGCAGGCGACAGGCCCACCCCCGCTGCTCTGTCCCCACGCTTGACTAGATGGGCTATTTTTCTTTCGGCCTATTCATACCAGCTTGTACATCGACCTGGACGGACCCTGGGTCACACGGATGCCCTCAGCCGCTGTCCCCTACCTGACTTACTGACCAATCCAACACCTGAGGCCTCCGTCCTTCTACTGGACACATTAACTTTGGGACCTATTTCCTCTGCCGAAGTGGCTAAAGCCTCAGCCAGGGACCCGATCATTTGTACTGTGATGGGGTGGGTGCTAAAAGGGTGGCCGGTCAAGGTGGACGGGGGGGACTATCAAGGTTTTGTAAACAAACGAAACGAACTGTTTACGCAAGGTGGTTGTTTGTTGTGGGGTGATCGGGTGGTAGTGCCAACGAAACTACGAACGAGGGTCTTAGAATTGCTGCACGAAGGGCATCCGGGCATTGTCAGAATGAAAAGTTTAGCCCGCAGTTAAGTATGGTGGCCCCAAATGGACCAAGTCATCTCTGAGTGGGTGGGGAAGTGCAGACCCTGCCAGGAGTCTCGGCCCGATCCCCCGGTAGCGCCCATCCGAGAGTGGGAGAAACCAAAAGGGCCATGGGGGAGGATCCATATTGATTTTGCTGGCCCCTTCCATGGGCAAACGTTTTTAATTGTAGTAGATGCCTTTTCGAAATGGCTTGAAATCATTCTAATGCCCTCTACCACAGCCGAGGCTGTTATTAAAGCCCTTCGCAAGCTGTTTGCCACACATGGCCTACCGGATACCCTAGTATCTGACAACGGGCCTCAGTTCACAGCAACCCTGTTCGAGGGATATTGGCTGGACTGGGCATCCGCCATGCCCTATCGGCCCCGTTCCACCCGGCTTCTAACGGATTGGCCGAATGTTTTGTAAGAACGGCCAAAGAGGCCCTATCCAGACTAGATAACGGGGACTGGCAGGCCAGGATAGATCAATTCTTAGCTGTCCAGCATGCCACACCATGCACAGCCACAGGGAGAGGCCCAGCAGAGCTCCTCATGGGCAGGAAGCTCCGGTGCATGTTAGATAGGCTTCACCCCAACTATTCGCACGAAAATTTCAAGGGAGAGACCTCCGGACTAAGACAGTTTCAGGTTGGGTCCCCGGTGTTCACTCGCAACTATGCCAACGGACCTCTATGGGTTGCAGGAACCATAGTGGGCATAACGGGCCCGAAATCTTATACGGTAGATGTAGGGGTAGACAGACTCTGGAAGCGCCACATAGACCAGCTGAGAAAAAGGGTAGTCGGCGAAGCAAACATAAATTTAGACATATCCGAGCCTAACTATAACAACTTTCCCAAAACAGCTAACTCAAGCCCGGGTTCGCGAGAATACTTAGCTGACAAGCCCTGGTTCCAGCGCCGCCCCAGCGAGTCGCCACTCCCAACCGGGGATAACCACGCCCCGGACAAAATCCAGGAGGTTCCATTGGCGGAGCCGGGAGAGACAGAAAGTCCCTCCGACCAGCTCGACACCCCACCAAACACTGAACTGCACAGGTCAACTAGGACGAGAACTCGCCCTGGGCACCTGCGAGATTTTGTGTGTACTTATGTAAATATTTGAATGACAGTGCCTTCTGGGAAGGGAGGGGTGTTATGTATTGATACTTTTGAGTGGGAGTTTCAAACCTGCCTACGTTTCTGATTGGCTGACAGTCCCTCCAGGATTGTATATAAGGAGGGCTGCAGCCTCTGAGTTTTCGCTGAAGTCTCACTGTAAATTAAAGAGCTGTTGTCACTTGCTTGGTTGTGCCTCTCGTTATTCCCGAACCACTTCAAGAACACTACATTTTTTATAATTAGTGTGTTTAATTAGGACATTTAATATTTTTTCCAATTCAGAAGACAGACAAAATTTCAAGTTTCAACCTTATATTAGTTTTAAATCCTTTCTGGGACATGGTTTTACCTAAATTTTGGTGATATCCTTTTTAAAATATCTTTAATATACCTAAAATACAGTATATGAAAGTGATTAAGGATAGGATAGGATAGGATAGGATAGGATAGGATAGAATAGAATAGAATAGAATAGAATAGAATAGAATAGAATAGAATAGAATTCTTTATTGGCCAATTGTGATTGGACACACAAGGAATTTGACTGGTGCATATGCTCTCAGTGTACATAAAAAGATACATTCATCAAGAATCATAAGATACAACATTTAATGATAATCATAGTGTACAAATAAGCAATCAAATCATATTATGAAACAATCAATATCAATATAAATTGTAAGGATACGAGCAACAAAGTTATTGTCATGCAGTCATAAGTGGGAGGAGATGGGTGACAGGAACAATGAGAAGACTAATAGTAATAGTAATGCAGACTTAGTGAATAGGGTTAATCAATGCAAAACTCACTATGATATGGAAACATTAAAATAGGTTTCTATAGAAGAACATGCTGAAAGAAATAATTTTGTAAGGGCAACTGTGAGCTCTTTGTTTCTCATGCTATAGATCACAGGATTCAACAGAGGTGGGACAAAGGTATATATCATAGTCAGTGCCAAATTCAAACTAGATGCAATATTAGAAGGTGGTTTTAAGTAGGCAAACCACCCAGTGGATATTAATATGGAAAATACAGTGAGGTGTGGAAGGCAGGTTGCAAAGGCTTTTTGTCTTCCTTGAACTGAAGGGATTCTTAGCACTGCTGTAAAGATCAGCACATATGTTATGATGATGAAGACAAAGCAAGCTCCCTCTAACATAATATTGATTGCCAGAATAGTAAGTTCAGGTTGGTATGAATCAGAACAAGATAGCTTGAGTAACTGTGGGATTTCACAGTAGAACTGATCAACAACATTGGAGCAAAAAGGGACTGCAAATGTGCCTGTAGTATTCATTGCTCCATTGAAAATTCCCATTAGCCAAGCACAAAGCACCATTTGTGCACAAGCTTGTCTATTCATCACCATCCCATAGTGCAGCGGATGGCAAATGGCAACATAACGATCATATGCCATGACTGTGAGAAGGAAGAAATCAGATTCAACAAAGGATACAAAACAGAAAACCTGACCCACACATCCAGAGTAAGAAATGTTTCTAGAGTTCATGAAAGAATTGCCCATGGATTTGGGAATAATAGTAGAAACAGAGCCAAGATCCTGAATGGCCAAGTTCATCAGGAAGAAATACATGGGAGTGTGAAGGTGATGATCAAAAATAACAGCAGAAATAATCATGAGATTCCCTAAGACAATTGCCAGATACAGTATCAGGAACAGATAAAAGTGTAGAATCTGTAATTCCCAGACTGCTGAAAATTGAAGGAGCAGAAAATTGGAAGGAGATGACATATTATCCATTTTATTAAGAGGTATAGTATCTAAAAGAAAAGGAAAATTAAATTAGGCAATTCCAAGCTTCCAAAAGGAATTTCAGAAAGTTCTTTGGGCATTTCAAGTCTACAAGTACTGTCTTGTATGTGTTAAAGCATCAGCAATAACTCAGCAATCAGCACACAAATAATTTGCAATATTTTGCAAAGAAAATTAACATTGTCTGAAAATTTATTAAATTAAAATTCAGTTAGTTATCAGATCTTAAAGACTTGATCAGTTTGAAATATTTCCAGCTGACCTCAGAAAATCTCTTCAGAATAGTGAATATGAAATGTGAAATAGCTAGAATAAAACCAATGCACAAAATAAATGCATACAGCTAAAATAATTGATGGTAGATAATCAAAACTCCAATGCAAGTGATAGAAGGCACATAAAGCAGTTGATAACTAGAATAACACTGAATAGCACTTTGGATTTAATCATCCCAAAGTGCTTTGTCAAAGAACAGAAGTATAACTCTTGTCTGTAAAATCTTTAAAGTAGAGGTAACTTTTAGGATTCATGCTAGATTTATGCAGCAGCCTTCCACAGCTGCCATGTGATCATAGAAACAATGCAATTGGTTTAAGTATTGACTACATACATACTCCTGTATATTCCCAAGCACATTTTAAAAACTTTGTAAATCAACTCATATTGATGATATCCAATTTCACCTCGTCTACTAAAAGTAATCCAAATTATTATTGAAAAGAAAACTATGGACAAGAATTTCTGAGATTTTATCAAGTTTTCTAAATGCTTTTTTTCCACAAAATGATTCAACAAAATGATTTTAGTAGTTTTTTAATAGTAGATTACTGCAAACTTTTTAAATATCTGGACATTTTCCACAGAATAGATCCCTACTAGTAGGTTCTTACGTGCTGCTTCATGTTTTATATATGCTTTCAAAGTTTATTGCTATTGTCAGCTTAGTAATAGATTCTACAAAAAAAAGAAAAAGAAAAAACCCTTTGCATTAACATTTTGCTTTAAAAGCACTAATAAAGTGAAATATGCTGAAAAAGAGGAAGAAAGGCAAAAGAAGGAAAGAGCAAATAAGAAAATAAGGGTGTTAGACTTCACTCTTGTATACACAGGCCACTTTTTCACATATCCTTTAATTGCAGTACTTCAATAAATTCTGAATTTATATTTGAACTGGACTTATCATTTTAAGAACATAAAAATGATTTGCTGTTTGATATTGTTAAATGATAAGGACAGTAGAGGTGGTATATATTTCTGGGTGCCTGACCTTAATAATTTTAAAATTCATACCCATCTGCAATAATGTTGTAATTAGCATATTTTGAAATGTCCACAGATTGTATCTTGCTATCAGATAGTCTCTCAGAAACCAATTGAATTATGATAAAAGATTACCATCTTTTGATTACATAAGAAAGCCCAGCTCTACTGCTGCTGTTTAATCTCTTTATGTTGATGAAATTGACAAATATATTAAAATTTCAAATGTTAAAGTTGTCTAAGAAGTTGAGAAATGGCTCTAAAATGTAAAGTATATAAAAAAGAACTTACCTTATAATTTAGCAGTTTTTTTGGAACTTACCATGATCCCTTCAGGTTTGAAATACCTAATATTATGAATGACATTTAAATAAGTTTTCTCCTTTCTTTCTTTTTTGTTGCTTTTGTGTCTTCTAATAACAAAAGATTGTTCTTCTCATCACAAGAAAAATATTCTGTTTTTAAAACCATAGATTTATTTTCTGTCATTCAATGCAAACCAAGATTATAACTGCAGAATATAGCTGCACCATGGAACTGAGTGAAGTTGGAATCCAAAAAGGATCAAATGTATCTATATCAAGAATTTATTTTCTCAAGGCAGAATAAGTCAAGTGTAATTTTTAACAGCAAAAGTAATAATTTATGAAAGTCTAGTTTGGTCAGGCCTAAGAAACATTTATCCCCACATACAGTGACATTTTGTAGATAATTAATCCTGACAAGTCTTAGGCAGGAATTGGAAGGAGTGAGATGTTTTTGCTCCATTCTTTGATTCTTTGCTTCTGGAAATAGCGTACTCCAGTCAACATTAATAGCTATGTATTGGCATATCATTAATGTCAGGCCAACTAAGTAGCCCAAATCAATAATTACCTCTTTAGGAGGGCTGAAACCATTTTAATTGATATTGGGTATAATAAGGCATATAGGTATCCCATTTTTGTTTCTTAATGAAGTTACCTGGGAATATACACTGTGTGACAATGCATGCAAAAAATAATACAATGTCCATAACAAAAAACAATCCAATAAAAGAATTCCTGATAATTTACCCATTTCTAAACATGCAGAAAACTTCCATGTTCTCTGCTGTCTTTAATTGATTGTGTCTTTCTTTGACTGTATTTAAATAATTAACAAATTATTCTATAATTTTCTTCCAAAGGCAGTGAAATGCCTGTCTCTACTGTTATTTTAAGAGCTACTGTAAATACAGCAAAGCAGCAGAAGTCTAAAAGGAGTCAAAAGTTGATACCCTTCCCTTTTTTCACATGTATACTTTAGAGCAACAACTATGGATTATTGAAGTTAATTAATACTGTGTTTTCAATATTAATATTTTAGATTTATTTCTTTTTGTATTCTTTTTAAATGTACCTCTATTTTTGTTGATCTGGAAGTATAAATAAATAAAAAAGAATAGTGTATTAGATACACATTAACAACTCTTTTTTCTGCTACCAGCCTTTATTTGAGGTATAACTTCTAGATCAACACATAGATATCTATATGATTCCTTGCCTTTTGAGCATTTGCTTTTATAAAATATACAATACCTTGAAAAAAGAAGGAAGACAATGAGGAATACTAAATTTAGTGATCAACAGAGCCATTCTCAAATCATAACCACTGGTCAACCATTGGTCAAGCCCATTATAGTCTTCTGGTCAAAGGGACCTTCAGGAACAGGGGCTGTTACTCTTAGCCTCTGTATATTATGGGCTATGCCATATTTATTGTGAATTGGGATCTGTTTAATGAAGGGATAACCAGACTTCTTGACTGTAATATACATTGATCTTTCAGGTGCAGAATATATCTTTTAATCCATTATATTTTCAAGAAACAATTCATTACTCTGATCAATAAGATTGATGAACCATTATCATTCAATAATTGTGTTGTGTGACTTTATGACTCATTGAAATATATAACTTGCATATTATGATAGGCAACTTTAGCTTTGGACAATTTTGGAACGAGCATTAGATACGAAGTTGAATAAAACCAGAAAAGAGGAAGGTTGAATGAATATACTAGATAAATAGGAACAAGGTAATAAATTATAGAAGTGATAAAAATAAAAGTCATAGGGATATATTTATTACCCAAGATTAACAATTGTTGGGGGAAAATAAAAATGTACAAGTAGCAGAATATTGTATATGGAAAAAGTACTAGGACCCATGAAGTTTCAAGTGAAGCTTCCACACAAAATTATTTTATGAAGCAATGTGGTTTTCTCTCTTCTAAGAGTAAAATAAATGTTTGCATTCATTCCTTCACTGTGTTTGATTAATCTCTATTAAAAACTATTAGGTAGACAAGATCAAGGAAGCAAGATCAACATGGATTTTATTAACAGTACATATCTTTAATGATAATCTAGAGTAAATTCAGAATTAAGTTAATTAACACAAAATCTCTTTAAAATATATTATTTCATTTTTCTTAGTTACCTAGACTAAGTTTCCTTTCTTCAGTAAATATCCAACTGATAACACTTTCAGCTTTCCCAGTCTGTATATATTCTGGCATTGTAATGCCCACCAAAAGTTTTAGTGCAGGTAAAGCATATGAGTAGAATCCATAATTGAGATTCCACTTATCTAACATCTAGAAGTGTTAGAACAAGTTCCTGAATGTGTGCAGTGCAGTAGTGAGTTGCAAAACCTGTCGCTACAGGTTTCCTTGTGTGTGCACTTGTGCGTGCGCTTTGCTTGTGTGCGCTTGTGCACGCATGTGATGCTTCTGCGCATGCTTCACTGTGGGTTGGTGGAGCCTCTTGCCGCTGCTGCTACTGCTTCACCGATCCAGGTAGAACCAGTAGCAACCCACCACTGGTGCAGTGCCTATGCAGAAGACTCTTATAGATTTTGCAAATGACAAAAACTGAGATGGCATGTCTTCAAAGAAAAAAATAAGAAAGTCCAGTTGCCTTCTGGAAAAGCACCTTTGGGACCACCATGACCTAGATGACTGAGAATCTCTACAGACATTTAGCTATACAATTTGGGATGAACATCTTTTGAATATGTCAAGTATTTGCAAGCCATTGGCACATGTGTCATATAGACACCAGTGGAGGCAGAGAGTGTCTCCACCCCTATGTGGAAAGGAGGGGCTTAACCTGAGTATAAAACCCCCTCCAACCTTTTCCACCTTGCTCTCTCCATCTCTCTCTTTTCATTTTTTCCTCATGAGACTTTATCTCTGTTGTACATAGTTAATATGATTTATCATATGAATAAATACGTTTAAGACATTTATTTATGCATCTGCCTCTGAACTCTTCTATGCTCCTGGGTGTTTCTACGATCCCAATTCTGAAGAATAGTGTGGGAGTAGGAATGGTTTTCCAGAGAAAAAATTGCAGACTACAGGAATCGGAGCACTACTCAGGTGAGCCTAAGGACACAGATAAACCTACAAGTGCTTCAACGATCCTCTAAAAGGATGCAAATTACCAGCTGTCTGCAAGGAATATAAATTCTTCCATTTCCCACTATCCTGTAGAGCTGAAGAAGCTTCTTGGATGAGAAGCAAAACATCTTCAAAGAAAACAAGAAAGTCCAGTTGCCTCCTGAAAAAGCACTTTTGGGACAACCATGACCTGAATGACTGAGAATTTCTACAGACTTTTGACTATATGATATATGACTATATTATGCATTTTTAATATGTACTATAAACATCATGCCCCCAAAAGATACTTTTGATGATTTGATATGTTTTGTTGAAACAGGTTTTTGTTTTTGTTTTACCTTAATAAAAAGAATTATGCATCTTTATGTAATGAAATTGGAATTAACTGAGCTGGGATGAATCCTCCAAATCTAACAGTTTCCACAAAGCAATTTTGATCTCTTTGTTCCTCACACTATAGATGAATGGATTCAGTATTGGTGGAATTATGGTATAGATCACAGCAAATGCTATATCAAAATTAGAGGAAGTTTTAGTGGGAGGTCTTTCATAGGCAAGAATTAAACTGAAAATAAAAATGGAAACAACTATGAGATGAGGAAGACAAGTGGAGAATGCTTTTTTAGAAACCTGCTTAGAAGGGATTCTAAGAACTGTCATAAGGATTTCTCTGTAACTTTCAATGATGAAAATAAAGCATATTAGCCCAATGCAACAACCTAATATAAGAAATCCAACCTCAATTAGATATAAATCAGAACAGGACAGTTTCAGTAATTGTGGGATTTCACAGAAGAACTGATTAATATAATTGGAATAAAAGCTAAGGCTAAATGTTCCTGAAGTATGTAATGTTGCATAAAGTATGCCACTAACCCATGCACTGATTGCCATTTGAATGCAGGCTCTTTTGTGCATAATTCTTTCATAGTGAAGTGGATTGCAGATGGCCACATAGCGATCATATGCCATTATTGTTAGGAGGGCAAGATCTGATCCTGCAAAGAACACATAGAAGAACACTTGAGCAACACATCCAGAATAAGAAATGGACTTGTTGTTCAAGACAGAATTAGCCATAGATTTGGGAACTGTAACAGAGATGGAACCAAGATCCAACATGGCCAAATTCATTAGGAAAAAATACATGGGTGAATGCAGATGGTAATCAAGGGTCACTGCAAAAATGATTAAAAGATTCCCAGATATTGCCACCAAGTACAAAACTAGAAACACAAAGAAATGCAAGATCTGTAATTCTCGAATCTCTGAGAATGTCAAGAGAAGAAATTCAGCTGTGGAGGTGCAATTAAACATGTTTTCTTGAAGCTCAGTTGTATGCTTCCTGTTGAAATAACAGAAAAGAAAAATGTTTAATCCAGAGATTGTGATTAAAATTAATCAAGATTAATTTAATGAAAAGTATTCCAAGTACTTACTTCTATATTTAGTGAGAAGACAATGGAAATATATTTTGCATCTATTTAGACCTTTTTGCAGTTTTTTATTTATTTATTAAAGTTCTGATTTATTTAGCCTGCTGCTATAATTTCAGCTATGTAAGTATATGATGTATGTATGATGTTCCCTTTACTGAAAATGAGAATATAAGAAAACTCTGGGTTTAACTGTTATACTCTAAATGGAAATTTAAGGGGAAAGCTTCCTTCAGGAGAAATGTAAAGCTCATTATTGATAAAAATATAAGCCTTTATAATGTTATAAGCATATAACATGATGTTAATGTTTTAGGAGAAAGAAATGTAGTGAAGGGAAAAAAGAACAATAGAAGAATAATATCTATAGGTACTACAGATTTACAAAAGAAAGAAGAAAAGAAACCGTGAGGTGCTCAACTATTCATATTTTTATTTCAAATTATTTTCTAAACTATTATGGGTATGTACCTATTTATATAAGATTGTATATCACACTGCCCAAATTAGTCTCCCACCATTCTGTGACTCCAATTAGTTACCTGTATCTTACTTGTAGATGTTGTTTAGCATTTTTTATTAGTCTTTAAAGTGATAACAGAGGCAGCTAGCATTTTAATGATAATTTTGGAGCTGTAAAGGTGATTGACACATTTCATCATAAAATTAAAACTCAAATGAGAATCTCTTTCATCCCATACTTTCTTGGTCATCCTGAAAGAAGCTAGGAACATTTTATTACTTACAATGCTATGTGGTTGAACTATTTTCTATAATATTATCTCTGTATAAAGTATAAAATGGTACAATATAAAATTGTGTATGTATATATGTGTGTATGTCTGTTTTAGCTTGTTCTTTGATGTTACAATTAAAGTGTACATTTTGTCAGTTTTAATACAAACTAAATGCAATGAATGTTGACACTCATACTTTCTGACCATTTAAAAAAAAAATTAATATATAGTACAAAATGTGTGAGTAATCATCAAGCCACCAGCAATAAAATAGAAAATTCAAATACATGATCGTAGATGAAATACTACAATACTAAGTTATCTCCTGGGTTATGCCACTGAAAACTATTTAGATTCCATAAACAATGACTCAATTGCCAGAAACAATTGAGTTGTCACAATCTTAAGGATGGACAATCTAAAGGATAAACTGCGATTCGTGTGTTTTTTTGTTTTTTTTGGTACAAAATTCTCTCGTATGAAATGAAATGCACACTCTAAAATTTTTATAGAATAATAGAACACTTCTTTGTATGTGGTTATAATCTATTTTTCACCTGAAACTACAAGACAATGTAGTTGAATGCAAAGGAATTTTAGGACTGAAAAGGGATAAAATTAATTTATCAACAAACTGGTAAATTATCCTATTAGACAGATGATTGAATGCTGAAGGGGAAAAAAGAATAGTTCTGAGTATCATCAACTTCCTTGACTCTAATAGAAAAGAACCAACTGCATTTTTACATGTGTTAAGTATTAAACAAGTGTTAAACAAAACTGTTTATCCTGAATTCCAAAACAATAGAAATAATATAGTTTAAAGAGGAAAGAAATGACTTTTTAGAAGTTCTAATATGAGTAAAATAATTCAGTGTAAATTCTTACATTGATTGTTTTACCTTTATATCCATAACAAAGACGAATGTAATAAGAGATGCATTTTACTTTAATACTTATATTTTTCTTTGGCTTGAGAGTGGATAATGCTAAAGCTTTAAGATCATGAAGCTCATCAGTTAAAATCATGAAGATATACATAATACATATTCACACATTCCTATATCCTAATAGATTTTATAATTATGTTTGCTAAGCAGAAATGCCATTCACTAAGATTTTCTGAATCCTTTGTAAAACTTTTTTTCAATTTAGATTTTATTTTTACCTCTGGTTGCTTTTTAATTACTTGTATAATTTATTTCTGTTATTTTTCTTTGAGAGAGCCAGTCTAATGTAGTGGTCAAAGCTGGGTAATCATTAGTTCTAGTCTTATTTTAGGCACAAAGCCAGCTGGGTAGTCTTGGGAGAGTCACTCTCCAGAAAGTCACCACGAGTCAACCCTGGTTTGAAGGCACAAAGATATGGATAGATATATAGACAGATATACCGGTATATATACCCCTTTCTTTGATCGTTATTTAAAAAGTTGTATACATAAAGATAGCAATTTAAACTTTGTTATTAAGCTCCCTAGATACCAGTGCACAATAATTACAAGGATATATTTTCCCCTTGTACAGGAGATTTATCTACAGAGAAAAAGAAAAAAATCTATAGGGGCTATTATTTATATCATTTGATTATTTTGATTATTTGTATTTGATTATGTACTGAATATTTGATTATATCAAAATTTCATTGGCAAATCATTTCAGGGATATAAAGATAGGAAATACTAGTGTAACAAACAATGGACTGGAATTATTTGGTTCCATTCTTAGTTTTGTATTCCATTTTTCCACTCAAGACAGTTTTGATAAATAATCTTTCTTCAGAATGACTGATTGATCATTTGCCAAACTTCTGTAGTTAATGGTAAACTCAATTCTGTTTTTTTTTAAAAAAAGAACGACTGAGTGTAAATTGATTTATATTGCCCTCAGGTGCCATGTTGTTGTTATTATTATGACAGTCATTTGTCTTTAATCCTCTATTTCATACCTTGAGTCATAAGTGGAGAAAGATGGCTAAAAATAAATATTAGACTGATTTTTTTTCATAAAGTAACATTCATTTCAACAAAGAGGAACCACATTGCCTCAAATGCTAGTCATTCCACTGTTTAGTTTTTATTCATGTTATAATGTATAATTTAACCTACTGTACAAATAAGTATTTGCTTAGAAAGTTTGAGTAAAATATATATCTTGATTCCTTAGTTAAAATACATTAGGAGGTAAGTATAGTTCTAATGCACTAAAATTGGTTGTAGAGATGGTTTACACCCCAAAGTTTTTAAGGAATTGGCAGATGTGATCTCAGAACCACTGAACCAGGGGTGAAATGCTCCCGGTTCGGACCGGCTCAGGCAAGTAGGTAGTGATGGCGGCGGACAGTTTGGAGAACCGGTAGCAAAAATCCCTGCTCCCACCCCCCATGCCCAGCGAGCCTCATGATCATCAGAGCATTTTTTTTCCTTTTAAATGGCTCTGACGATCCAAACTCTGACGACCCCAGCTGAGTTGCCTACTAATCGGTAGCAAAAATCCCTCCCTCTCCCCCCCTCAGCTTGCTTACCTTAGCTGCTGGTTGCAATGTCTTACTGTAATTCCTGCAATCCATTGCATCAGCAAGCAACTGAATCTCTCTGCCTGCAATCAAGCAGGTAGGGAGTTGAAGTCTACAAGTCTTAAAGTTGCCAAGGTTGGAGACCCCTGTTATATTGGGTAAGTTTTTTTCCCCTTTGGGAGATTTTAAAAAAATAGTTAATTGGGATTTTTTTTAGTTGTTCTTTTTTTAGACCTAGCCATTTAAAGTTTAGGAAGTTTTAAATTTAGCTGCTTTTATATAAAAATAAAAATAAAATAAAATAAAATAATATTTGTGCAGCTTTCGGAAATTTAGTGTGTTTCTGTAGTGTTTCACTCTAACTACACAAACAAACAAAATCTCACAAAGCTGTATGTGGAATTTTGTGTGTGTAAAGTGTGAAAGTTGGTTTTTTGGGCTTTTTTTTAAAATTTGATTTATATGCCGCCCTTCTCCGGAGACTCAGGGCGGCTTACAGTGCGCTAAGCAATAACTGTGGCTGTGAGAGGTTTCTGCTTGTTGCAGGGGCCATTTTGGGTCTAGCACAGATGCTTTTACATTGTGGGTGAGCCAGTTGTGTTGTGTTGTGTTGTGTTGTGTGTGTGTAAAGTGTGAAAGTTGGTTTTTTGGGCTTTATGTGCCTGTGTTAGGTTCCTGCTTGTTGCAGGGGCCATTTTGGGTTTAGCACAGCTGCTTTTATATTGTAGGTGAGCCAGTTGTGTTGTGTTGTGTTTTGTAGGTTAAAAAAGGGCAAAGAAGTGACATTGACTTGGCCACTCCCACCTGATCAACAAGCCACGCCCTCCCAGTCACCTTACCACCAAGCCCCGCCCACTAATTAAGCCATGCCCACAGAACCAGTAGCAAAAAATTTTAGATTTCACCCCTGCACTGAACTATATCTTTTAAAGATCCTGGAGCACTGTTGAACTACCAGGAGGACTGAAAAAAGGCTGATGTAGTTCCCATTTTCAAAAAAAGGGGAAAAAATCCAGGAAACTACTATCAGCCTGACATCAATACCTGGAAAGATTATGGAAAAGATAACCAACAAATCTGTGAACACCTACAGGGAAAAAAGTCATAACCAAAAATGAACATAGGTGTATCAAAGACAGATCATACCAGACAAATATTTTTGCATTGTTTGACAAAGTGACAAAATTACTGGACCAGAAAAGTGCCATGGATATAATTTACTTTGACTTTAGTAAGGTATTTGATAAAGTAGGCCACAACTTATACTTGATAAGATAGAAAAATGTGGGTTATACAGCATCTCCACCAGATGGATTTGTAACTGACTGATCAACTGCATTCAACCTGTAATCCTGAATGGAACTGCATTTATATGGAGGAAAGTATACAGTGGGGTACTCCAAGGCTCTGTGTTAAGCTCAGTACTCTTCAATAACATCATCAATTATTTAGATGAGGGGATAGATGGGAATTCATCAAATTTGCAGAGACACTAAACTGGCAGGAATAACCAACACTCCAGAAGATAGGTTTAAGATAGAAAAGGATCTTGACAGATTGGGCCCTATCATTGGGCTCTATCTAACAAAATGAAATTTAATGGTTAAAGAAGTAAGGTTCTACACAGGACTGGGTTCTAAAT